GACCACGGACCGGAAGACGCAGCGTGGGAAGGCCTCCAGCAAGGTGGACCGACGATCTGGTCAAGATCGCGGGAAGGCATTGGATGCGAGCAGCGCAGGACCGATCGTCGTGGAGATCTTTGGGGGAGGCCTATGTCCAGCAGTGGACGTCTTCCAGGCTGCGATGATGATGATGATGATGATGATATAGGTCATCACAATACTATTGGGAATAGCCAGAAATAATGGAACGCCTAATGCTTCAATACCCATTCGCACAATTAAATAATGTGTTGAAACATTCTTCATTGTATTCTACATAAAAAAGACTTGACCTGACTGATGCCGTATCATTGCATAGCCTGAAGCAGATCATACAGAAATCAAATCATCATATTGCTACTGAGTATATATTATTAGGAGGGTTTTGCTTCTTACTGTCATTCATTACTACGTCAGCCGGGCGGCTGAACATTGGGTTTTATTTCGACTTTTTCTTCTCGTATATTAATGTAATTTTTCCTCGTCCGCTAAAACGGCTCTATGACATTGTGAAGATGAAAAGGAATGGCTACGCATTATATTTTTCATACAGTCATCACATTGAGATTTGTAACTTACAATGAAACTATAAATAAATTATAAATCAGTTATACAATTATTTTACATTTCCGTAAAAACTACCAATTCATTTTCATTCATCAGACTTACAGACATTTTCGGTTTCTCTCTAGGGGCAAAGTTAGGACCATTACTGAGTACAGAATAATTGTGATACCACTTGAACTTTTAATCCTTGAGATATCTGTAAAGTAGGTGGTAATATGTTACGCACTGTGCTACGTGAATTTTATTTATCGATACAATAGTCATTAGAGCAAGACTACCCATTTGAAGATTACCCACTTCGTAATACTTTTCTTCGTAAGTAAATGCTTATGAATTTTCTAATTATTCCAAGCTAAAAGTTAGATTTAAATTTTGGTGTAATACATGATCCGTGTATTATAGAGGCGAAGGATAAATAACTGGAGGCAAGGCAAGGTATGATATTCCGTTGGGAAAAGCCATCAAAGACGGGACGTCATTTGAGTTTGAGCTTACAATTTCGCTCTTCGTCAAAGCGTGTCCTAGTTGATATCAAAGCCTAAGAACAACTTGTTTGTAGACAAGTTGGTAGATTTGTTTAGTTTACTGGTCTGGAACTGTGATAATACAAATACACAAAACATTATTCAACTCGTCAATCCGCGAATAACAACACGTGCATAATTATATTACGTTTTTATGTATAATACATTACGCAATGAATATTTTAGTATATTTATTATTTTTTGTTTTGTCAATTTCTTATAGTTCGGATAATAAAATGAAATGTTTTAGGATAAATAAAAACGTACAAACACACATATAACGTAAAATACAGGTGTATTCCAAAAAGAACAGGTTCGCATTTCTATTCTATTTGTTTTGATGTAAGTTATACTTTACCATATGTTGATGAATTTAAACTAAACAATAATGATATGGTACGTAACATAAATAAACCTTATAGTAATCAACAATTGAATCTAATAAAATCTAAGAACAATATTGTTACAAAATTATAAAAAACAAAAACTCCAAAAAAATAAAACATGAAACATCTAATATCAATATTTCTTAATCTTTACTGTCATAACACAAAATAATACTTATTGACTGGCTTTATTAGCAAATCCTAAAACAATAGTTTTGATCAAAAAAATAATTCTTACCTTAAATAAATGCGAATAACTAGATCCGGTAGTCACGTAAATGTTTAAATGAAAACGATGAATTTATTCAGCCCACATTAACATGAAAATGAAGTTCACTTTTAGTAAATCCACTTATAGATGCTTCGTTACCGCCACAAAAAGTTAATTTCAATTCCTTTGAACGACGGTGGTTGAAATAGAATGAAATCTAAAATAAAGGAGATAAATCGAGTCGCGGTATAGAACAGCTGCGATTGTTCGATTAATCAACTAACTAGTTGGGACGCGAGTTAGCTCAACAATTAGGTCGTGAATGTTCAAGTGTTCGGTCTCCCTGGACTTAAGTGGCCAGCTGAGGGTTAATAGACGAAACCACTTTATACAACGTGGTACATACTTATGAAAAGAAAAAGGGTTATTGAGTATCGAAATGAAAACCATTACTAATGTTATAATGGAATTCAAATCCACCCGACAGACATTGCTAGCGATGAGGCACTATAGTAAAATGTTTTCATTGAATTAATTGCAAGAAAAATTTTAATTATTCCATCATAGCTAGGATATAATTTGATGTTCTACGATCACAACATGCCTGAAAACTTGTGTAAACACTCGCAATATTACATTTAAACGTGTTACACATGTGTCACGTCGCAATTCATTAAGACCACACATTGTGGTAAATAAATAAGTTTAAATAATAATTAATCACATGAGCTGATTTGTTTTTCGTTATTCATTCTCCCCGATCATTATAAATTAATTGTGTGGTCCTTATACAGTATAGACCATATATGTACATATTGGAGAAAACGCGGTCTACCATTGTATGGTACAAACTTTGTCCCCATTCTTCTGCTGTACAGTAGATTATGTCTGGATATTTAAACAGAGCTTATTGCTTTAACTGTGACAGAGAGTCATTAACGACGCCCGTTCCGTCAAGCAAGATGGATTATAGTGACGGTGCAATAAAGGGAACTAGTGGGCATTATGACAGGGGGATAAAAAAATATGATTAAATAATGAGAATAAATTTAATAAGAATTAAAGTGATGATTTTGACCTCTGACAGGACTTCAACATGCATCATAATAATAATATTAAATTATAAAAGACATCGACAGAAATTACCATATATCATCTTGTCATAAAATTTATTACTACTTCAATAGCGACGATTACAACAAATCCTCAAATTGCTTGCAAATCTGGTAATTTGATTGACTAGATGTTAGGTAAGTATTTATCTATACCTTATGGTTGAAAATCGTCTACTAATAACTAATTTCTTAAAGTTTCAACATTGTTTGTATTTTTTCAACTGCCATAAGGATGTTCTTAATATAATTTTTATTAATACTATTTACTATATACATGGTAATAGTAGTCTATAAAACCTATAAATCAATTAATCTTGGAAATTCTAAGCACGTGGATGTCCTTAGTTGTAAAGAATAATATGGAAATACTTCCTTTTAAGATCGTATCGTGGGAATATTTTGTCATTACGAGTTCACAAGGTCTTCGTCTAAGTATTTAGACTACTATTACCATGGCTAGGCCTTCCTACCACTATGTATTTGTACTTTATACCCATAATCGGCTTTTATGACGTCCTGAGAATGCTATATATTAATGAATTGCATTCTTACTGCATCACCTCACAAAGAATTTTACTTACAAACCAAACTATTATTTTATAAAGGCAAAGTTACAATGATTGTAACAATTTGTAACGAATGTTATTAAGCTGTTTTATGATTGAGTAGGAAGTTGTTGATAATTAGAAAACGATGTTACAAGATGTTAAATAAAATATACATAAAATCAATTCCTAAGGATCCTGATTAATTTACTAAGTTAATTTTTATGACACAAGACAATGTAAGGATACAAACTGAATCCCATGTGAATTATAACAATAACATGAAATGAGTTTAGATAACACTTACACGTGTTGAAAATTGAAGTTAAGTAAATATACAGCTGACCAGTTATAATATTTATTTTTCGAATCTCGATACTAACACACACACATGTACATACATATATATATATAACCGTTATAAATGGGAAAAATTGTATGGATAATAATATGCGTGACATAACGATTTTAATTACGTGAAAAAATATGTTTCTATATAAAGATATAAAGACATGAACATTGATCATCGTTAAAAGGGGTAGGTGGGTACAGATTTAACAAACGAATAGAATAGGATATTAGTAGTCCGATTGCTAGCACCCTAACAGGCTAACTGAACTGACTTCATCTTCATACCATCTGCTGGTGAGATGCAGGCATAAACCGGTAGTACAGACGGGTTCACCTTTAGATACGTAGAATATAAAAATGTGTCGATTTTGTTCAAAAAGACCGCTATATTACTAATGAGCGTGTGTTTCGTAGACTTCCAGTTTTTTTAAAGCACCACTAAACATATTCTGTCGTCATCGGCGGCTCGCGACACCTACACTTCCTTGCTGCACGTCACATGGAATGATAAACAGGTATTGTCTATTGTCATGTTGTATGCATCTTTAGTTCCCATAAAGTATCACGGTGAGCACGTAAGCTTTTAAGGGATACATGCATGGCCTTAGTTCTATAGAATAGAGATTCCATAGTTTCATTTATGGGCGTACCCATGCGCATGTTTGTAAGTTGGTGAGTCAGCGTCGTTGAAATCTTACACTTGTATTAAACAACTAGCTTTTGCCGGCGATATCGTTCACTGCTGCCTGGTCAGTATTGACCGGAATGAAAGTAGCATGTCTTTTCTACGAAATGCATTCTTTACTTTAACGTAGAATACTTTAAAACAAAAATTATACTATAATTAAATATTTAATCTAAGTAGGACTTAAACACAAAGAGTACCGCGGACATCAAGCTATTATGTGATGCCGGTAGTACTACTCATGTTTTGTATTCAGGAGAACTAAGATAATATAACATGTCACACATTTGTATCTACTTTGCAATTACACTGCGTAATCTCGCCCTTCAACTGAAACATATCCTGCAAAACAAGCTCCTTGGAAGCTAAATTAGGTGAGACGGTACCCAATTAGATAACTTCGTGCAGAGTTTGCTTTAGTAAAAGTACATAAAACAGACAAATTTAACGTAGTATTAGAGTAATGGCATAATATGTTGACATCTATCACCGAGATATCCGTATTCAATTTTTTTTTTACTTTATTGGGCGCTATTGAAACTTTACAAAACATATTGCCAATATATACACAACAAGAAATAAAACCGAAACTTACTTGTTTTCTGATGCGTATAGATGTGGAATTTAGTTTTATGGCTTCCTCATCGTTTGAAAATCTGTAACAAAAATATGATTTTATTAGATAAACACGTTACTTTTATATTTTGGCTTTCTTTGGGAAGTATTGTATAGTATATTTCGGTACTACTTGGGTATTTTATTAACTATTTTACATTCTATACTATATATTTTATTAACGTTTTTAATACAATGAAATTATCGATAAAAGTAAACCAAATTCTATATTTACTTATTATTTCTTCATATATATTATTTTTATCAAATAAATTGAAACATTAACATATTCATGGGAATAATTTTTGAGAACGATGGAAAAGATAACAGAAAAAACAAAAATTGAATTTTAAATGTTCCCGCTTCAGATGTCAAGTTATCATTGAGAGTGTAATTTCCGGGGTTTTGCCATTGAGCGATTAAATACCAACTGTATATTTCAAAATAATATTATCCGATTAATATATATGTATATATAATTCTACACACTTATCGAAATCGAGAGTCATATGTTGTTAGCGCAAAATTGATTCATTTTGATTTCATGATGCTTATTGTATCCATTAATTAAAATTATAAAGCGTTACAAACGAATATTCTTTAAAGTTCTGCCAAAACAATTACGCATTGAAGTAATTTTAATTGTAACTTAATTAGATACAAATGTAATTCATAAACAAATAATTTGAATGCTATAAATTCTTGTTATTATACTGTATATAGTAATGACGTGCGCGATATAAAATAAATGTGTACCTATTATTTATAAATAAATAATGCGAAAATATTGCAATGAAATCATCAGTTCCTTTTTAGTACAGTCAAACGCACCGGAAAATAGCGGGGAAACGTACGGAATCATTATCGAAACAATTTCGATAGGAGTCGAAAAGGTTCTCGAACTTTGCATCATGACACGAATTTAAATGTTAATATTGTGCGGAAGTTTGGGTATGATGTACGATAATTTCATGCAAAGCTGATTATAATTACGGTGATTACTATATCGAACTTCACATACATATGTATTTCATTTATCGATATAGCACATCGATGACATTTACAAATTCACCATAATCGTCTATGGAAATTGGGTTTATTCAATCAATAGAGTACAGTTAGTAACATTAGTATATTATATAAGTACTAATGTTACTGACTGTAACTAAAATTATATACTAAGCTATAAAAATACAGTGTAGCAAATAAAAATATTTTTTTTTGTATACTCGTTTTTCTTACAATAAAGAAACTATTCTATAACATTCTTGACATTACAAAAACTTAGAAGAGTCAAGTACTAAACATGATTCACATTTTAAAAGTGGTTCACTTTTCTGTACGGGTAGATATTTATTATATTATCGTAGTAGTGGTAGTTCGAATATATTTTTCTTCTTTCGGTCGTGTTAATCGTAATCCTAAATATATTCAGACCACAACTTCGCCAATGTCACTATCGGTCGTCTTTTTCATATCTTACTTAATGGAAGATGCTGTACATGAAGGACATTATATGCATTGGATATGATAGGAGCCTCCCAGACTGACCTAGAAACAGCTAGTCATGGTAACGCAGTGTCTAGGTTGATCAATCCTCTCACCACAATGGTAACCCAAATCGGTAGAACAGAGGTTCCCAAACTTTATTGTATCGTAGACCCCTTGCCATATTTTTCGGTTTTGGGTAGACCCCCTATTCTTACCTGGTATTGATTTTTTGTAAATTTCTAACTGTAGGAAAGTTTTGTGTTATAAACAATGCAAAAACAACAATATGACCGTTGACGTGGACCCCTTGCAGTTTGTCATAGATCCCTGGGGGTCGATATAGACCACATTAGAATCACTGTGCTAGAGTATACTAAAGATAAGGATTCTTAAACGTCGTACACACGCACATGACATGTACTACATCGTATGCTACCTTGTATTACGATTGTTTTCCACCATCGTTTCCACCATTAATACACCAATTAAATTATAATACAAAACTTATAATACATAATTTTAAGAATTTTTGGGCATTTGCTTTTCTTACAATAAAGAAACTATTATACAACATGATTCACAATTTCAAGTAATTGAAACAAATGTGTGAATCGCAAATCCAAAAGAATCAGGCCGGGATAAGCCAGGAACAATGAAATTTATAGATCGCGTGAGTTGAATTACGATTTATAGGTTAAACTGTGGCTATTTTTTATTGTGGGGAGCTTCGGCGAATAGCTTTGATTTTCCTATTGAAATTGTAAAAAAGAAATTTACAGACAAGTCCAATATTATATTAAAAACCTTTTCAAAACAATTTAGCTATGGAAAACACTTCTACTCTATTTTATAATTTTCTAGTGAATTAATTATATTTTACATTTTAGAAAAATTTGAATATTTTTAGTAAAATATAGAATTGTATATAGACTTTTTTATTGAACACCACATACCACCAACACCTATGTTTTTCCTACATACTTTTAATTTTCGAGATTTTTTCGTAAGATTAGACATTTTTTTCGTTGTTTATTACAAGAAAAATACTCGATAGAATAAAAAGACGCAACATTTTACAGTCAGTCGGGATCGAACAGTAATAGAATTACCGCTTTTAATTAGTCTTCGACTAAAATGATTTAAATTGAATTAATTTGTTCTTGCGTGTAGTGCATTTCTAAATCATGGTGCCATTACCGAATCATAAATTCATATTTACCGGTCGCAACTATGCACCTATTATTAAATACATGTATTTTTTACTTTGTAATACGATTCAATAATATTTATGACGCTAGCAGTAAAAACTGGTTAGATCTGTTTCATAGGCAATTATTGTTTTGTATCAGCAGTTATTTTAAATGTTGATACGTGTATCTAGAACTTGATTTATATTTGTAATTGGTTGGTTGATGGATCTGTGCCTACTTGAAGATAAGACAAATTTATTCACATTTTTAACTGCCTGTAATAATTTTATAATGTCTTACTAAAATAATATTGAGTAAGTAATATGTTACACGCATTTGTTTAAATATAGTGAAAGACAAATAATGTAGGAATGAATATTGCAAAATAGTGATAATATTGGTATGGTAAATTCAAACTACTTTCTTAATTTTAAAGAATATGGCAAAACAGAGTATCATTTAAAATAAATATATAGAGTTTGCCTTTTATTCAATCCATATCATCCACTATTTATTATCCATACGACTTTGTTTTAGAATTTAGTTTATACCCGTATTTATACCGAAATATCCTACTTCCAAATGCACTCATTAAGTTTTCATTAGGAAAGTGTTCATTAAAAAGTGTGGAGCAATGAGTAATTTCCGCTGGATCCACTGATCTCACATTCGAGGCCGTAATAGAATGTCAGACAAAGATGTTTGTCTTTGTTATATAAATACATCTAAATTTCATAATATTTTAAAGAAGAAAGATTTGATTGTTTGTTTGATTTGAATGAAATGCTCCGAAACTATGGGACCGATTAGAAAAAAATAGTTTACCATTAGAATGAACGCAGGCGATAGAACATTTTTAAAAACGTTAGGGATCTGTATGAAAACTTCAATGATTTAACCCCGTGCGTGAAAAAAATTGCGAAAACTCGTTATACAGAAATTATTGACATTAGATCAAACTAAAGTACTACTGACTTGTAATTATTATTACTTACTTTAAATAATAAAAAAAGACAAAGAATATTATTTTATCTATTATACTACATTAGTTTCGTCACGATTGGAGTATTTTTTGGAAATCACCTAATTGCAGAGGCTTTTTGCTTGTTAAAAAAATCTTTGTTGTTAAGCTTAAGTTAAAAAAGGCGTAATCTACTACCTACGAATATACTTTTTTAAATTCGGAAAATGGCTACACTACGTGGATATTATTGACGATACTTACCTTCGTTACGAATTAATGCTGACCACTATGGAAATCATTAAAAAAAGTCCAAAAAATAATTATTCAGAGATGACGCATGTTGTGTTGACATTCTAAGAATATTTGCAATATCAAAATGTCACATTAGTAGATAATATGTAAATAAACAAATGAAAAGGGTTGGGTAGCGAACAAGCGTATTAATTTATAAAAACAGCCATAATGTGTTGACCACACGCGATCAACATTTGTAGCGACTATAAATACAAGATTGCCTAAAATAGCGTGAAATTTGATTACACTATTCTATTATAAAAATATCAACTTCAATTGGACGTTTATTATATAAAATGGAGAATAATTTTATTTGATTTTCATTATATATACTGTCAGGAAAAGGAGAAAGTTTCACTTTTTCAATTATATTTTTTATAATTATTTTTTTAACAAATATGGTTTATTCCTTGGCATAGAATAGAAAATAGTTTCATTCGAATAAATTCTTTATATCTGATTCAGGAAAAAGCTTGAAAACCTATTGTATAAATATGATTTTTTTATTAAGACTGTCTGATATTGTATAAATTTTATTACTTTAAATTGTATTGTTATTTTTAACAAAATATACATAAGTATTATCTTTGAATACAATTGCAACAGTTTAAACAATATTAACATAAATATTAAAAAGTTTTTTGCAGCAGAAGGTATTATTTGGAACAAATCCAACAGGCCTACCATCATAGGTCGTCGACCCTTTGATTTATGGCAAAGCATTTTCCTCTGAAACGTAAACACTACACGCAAGCATTAACAAAAAACAGACGTTAGTTTCCGACAAAAGCATCTTGATTTGTTCCTGTTAATTGGCATTGTTCTACTTCCTAAGCATCTCTAGAAATGTGTTAAAAGTGAAAGATTAAATCTTTGTTAAAAGCACTACGGTAGGAACAAAAAGTTTTCTTTGTAAGATAAGTAAATAAATACTACAGTAATATTTTAGTTCATTCAATCAATAATTGCGTGCATGATTGCTACAAGTTATTTTCCGGATATAAATTATGTCTGGATTGAAATATCTTTTATATTTCGTGGAACAAATGTATATATACATATATATGTACATACTACAAAATATTTTTAGCTTTTATTCATT